ACGTGCCGGCACATGCGAATACGCAGAGATACGATACGAAGAGAAGAGCAAGAGAGCACAGACGTGGTATATAAATAAGAAGGAAACCTTCTACACACGCTGTGGCCGGATACGCATTGTACAGTACTCGTACGAATTGCGTTATATGTCGTTGGTCGCTATCTCTCCCACTGGACGTGTGTGCGGATTCCTTGATTTTAACACTTCACTTGCAAGTGTTAAGGACCATCGGATTCAGCCGAGACAGACTTATGACCAAAGAAATCAAATGTGCAAAAGGCGGGGATCACCGAAGAACTGTGAAATATATGGGTTACTCATTCAAGCTATTCAAGCTAGCTCCTGTGTTGCTGTCCTCCAGTAGCCGATTTACACGAGTGCAGATCCATTTATCAAGGTTGTATAGAGCAGGTTGGTTGTCCATTGTTCGTTGTTCATTGGGGTTAAATCAGTGAGCAGACAGGCTCTACTTCGATTTCGTCGCGAACCCGGATAACAAACAGACATTAGCCATCTGTCGTCATTGTACCCTCACTATGGCCCCTCGCCAAGCTGTGACGACATCCGCCAGAAGGGCCAAACGAGTCATCGACTCCCCCTCGGCCTCCTCGTCCGAGACGCCGACTCCACCACCACCAGTCGCAAGCTCGTCAAGAACTCGCGGAGCAGCAGCAGGGGGTAACAAAAGACCGCCTCCGCCAGATGACAGTGAGGTAGAAGAAGAAGAAGAAGAAGATCAACTCGAAGTCCAAGAAGAAGAGGAGGAGGAGGGGGCTGAGGGGGAAGGGGATGTGGATGCTGAGGGGGAAGAGGAGGCTGATGGACTTGAGAGTGAAGAAGGGGATGTTGATATGGAGCGATCAAGGAGTAAGTCGATAGCTCATTGCTAGCTGATCCCTCGAATCGCCGCCTGCAATGGACGAGTTGGGTTTGGGCCCAGCGATGCTCAGGCTAATTTGACTGTAATCTGATCCAGTGTCATCGATAGTCGCGTCGGAAGAGCTGAATCTCGATGATGAAGAGGAAGCAGAGGAGGAGGAAGAGGAGGAAGACGAGCTCGCCGGAGAAGGCTCATCACCTGCTACAAATTCGAACGCACCAGCTTCAGCATTGAAGATCAAGCTGAAAGTGTCGGGCCCCAGCGGGACGCCCACTCCTGCTGGTAGACTCGGTAGGGTCGCGGCTAAGAAGGGGTCGAAGAAGGTCAAACGGGTCGCCCAGGATGAGTTGGGTAAGTCAACAAAGCCCACTGCAGCTTCCTGTAGCCCTTCCTGGGCTGCATGACCTCTATTCGGAACTGACTTGATTGGATGCTTGTGCATGCAGATAGCGATGATGAATTGCTATTGAAGGACGACGAGGAGAGCGTCATGTCTTCCAGGCGAAGTGGGAGTCCTTCAAAGCTGACTGCCAGACAACGGGCAAAGGGAAACAAGGATTTACAAGAGACGCTACTGCAGCTTCCGAACGGTGAGTGACGAAGCGCGGCCTCAACTTCGATTTGCAGTATCTTGCCATATCATCAACGAAGAGCATGTGTGTGGGAAACAACAAGAATGCGCGTGCATATGACTGACCAACGCATGCAAACAGAACTGTCTGGAAAGAAGCAGATCATTTTGACCGAAGCTGAAAGGCAGCAGAAGCGGGAAGAGACGGCTCGAAGGCGAAAAAGACAAAGCGAGCAAAAGTTGCAGGATGAACAGGTGAGCCGCCAAGTGCTATTTATCTCCAGGCATCAATCCTCAGAGTCATCCATCACCTGCAAGACGTGTCTGCCGGGACTCGATTTGGGTCAAGGCTGAATTTTCCCGGTCCTGGTATTAGGACGAAACTATTAATCGGCTGCTGCGAGCGCAAACCTCTCGATCACGAGCAAAGCTGGATAACCCTTCTCCAGGTTTAGGCGATGCGGATGGCGGCGAAGCTTCCGGTTCGGGTCAAGCTTCACCTTCACGAAGAGTTCCATTGATCGTGGGCGAGATGGTACGCTGGACTAGCTCCATCAACAAAGATGGCGAGGTGCTTCTTAGAGTGGGGGTACCCAAAGATAAAGAGGATTGGATTGCTCTTACCCCAGGTCAATCGTCATCTAGCATTGCTGCCGCGAATGATGTAAAACAGGAAGTAGGATCGTCCAAGGGAAGTGCGGTATGTGCGGTAAATGGTTGCGGGGAGAAGAGAAAGTACAGGTCTACCAAGGATTTCGAGGTGGGAGGATGTTGCCTTCAGCACCTCAAAGCCGTTGAAGCGGGTCTATAGCGATCACTCATAAGTCCCCGATAGCCTTTCAAGCCTTGTCAGGTAAAGGGGGTAGATATTTGATCAGTGATGTTGTATGTATGTAACTGTATACATTTGGCGCACATGACGGGAGGCGATATCCGTCTTCAAGTCATATGAACCGAAGCTTTCGCACTCAGATCTCAGAGCTTCTGCACAAGGTCCAGGCTTAGTGCTTGCGAGGACGGTCCAGAGACGCGAGCCAGAATCTCTGGGGCTTTTGGGATGCGACCGGACCGCACACATTTCAGAGCGAAGCTCAGGAGATAAACGCACCCGTCTCGACCGCGGCGCACATTCTTTGGTCCTTCGAATGCTTGCTCTGGCCTCCCGTCGTCCCGACAAGTTCTTATTGATAATGCAAACCCGACCCAATCTGGCGAGTACCGCTTGGCTCTTAGACCAAACCCAGTCTACTCCAGTCCGAACCACACACCCAACCATCCAGTGATCGTCAAGCGCTTCATGCAAGTGTACAGAGGCGGAAGTCCAAGTCCCAATAATCGACCTAAATCCTCTTCCTCTCCTTCCACATCTCCATCCTAATCCTATCCTAGATACGTATATCGAGTTTAGGCGGTCTTCTCTCCCTGAGCGACCTTGGAGGCGATGGCGGCGGCAACGGCGGGGTTGACTCGCTGTGAAAGAATCATCGAAAAAGACGTATCACATCAGCGGGTAGTCACACGAGGAAGGAGACAAAAGATGTAGGACAAAACCGCTCCACTCACCTTACCGTCCTTGAAGACAGCTCGAGGAGGGGGGAGTCGGTTCTTTCGGGAGTTGATCGCACCGGGCTTAGCGGATCGGACTCGGACGACTGAAAAGAAATCGCATAATGAATGACCCAATGTCAGTGAACGGCCTCTAGACCCAAAGCCGAGAGCACAACGATCTCGAACTCCGACACGGATACCGGCTCGTCAAGAAAGGCGGTTGAGGGAAAGAGAAAAAAGAACAGTGATACTCACTCTTGGCGTGGATGGCGCAAGAGATACAGTAGCAGAGTCGGATGTAGAGCTTGGGGAGAGCGTACTCGGCGTAGACCGAGGCCTCAGACAAGTCTCGGACAGCAGCGGCCTCGACCATGTTCTTCACGGTGAATCGCTTGATGGCCTTGTCCTGTTGATGAAAAGACGCGGAGAACGAGGTCAGCAAAAAGCTCTTGTTCAATGCGCCCTTGCGACACGCCAAGCCTTGATAGCATCGTTCACCAATCGATCCCAAGCTCCCTCGCCTCCTCCTCCTCAGACTTCGATGCCCTAGTCTCGCCAGCAACATTTGACGTATACGACGAGCGCCCTGCGCAGCATGCGCTGACCATCCTTGCCTTTCCCCTTTCCAGCTCCCGTGAACCCTTCAGTTTCCAGCCTTGCGTTGAAGCGTATTTTCGTGCTAGGTCGGAAGGCAAGGTCTGTCCAATTCCCAAATCTCCCTTGGTCTGTCCAACAGCACAACCACCTCCATCATGATCCTGCCCCCTCGATTCCGTGGCGTGTCTGTCTATCCACCTTGACAGGTGCTATTCTCAACCCCTTCCTCCGTCCAATACCTTCTTGGATCCCACATCCTAAATCCCAGATGACCAAACCCCAAACCCACCTTAGGGACACATCGCGAACAGTTGGAGCATCGGACAAACTTGACGTGTCCTCGTCCCTTTTTGCTTCGGCCACCGCCTCGTCTTTTGAAGGTCATTTTTGTCGATTAACTAGAGTCGAGTAAAACAAAAACAGAACACAAAGGAAAAAGTCAAAAGGTGATATTAGCGAAAAGCGTTCTTGTCTTTTTGGCTCGAGCGTATAGCGATTGCGCGCGGTTGTCGATTACTACTACTGCTGGACTGGAGTCGAACGTGAATTGGGACGAAACCTACAAAGGTCTTATGGTGTGCTCTTGAGGCCTACTACAAGACTGTGGAACCGATTTTTGAATGGTTTTGACGACAAGTGCTCAAAGTACCAAGCAAGCAAGCATGCAAGCAAGCTACCCACAGGCGTGACTGACGGGACGAGGTTCAACCGGTGACGAGCGAGAGGAGAGGATGGGCAAGCAAAGGCGAGGGAGAGGACAACACCGAGGGTAAAAGCAGTAGCAGCCAGTAGCTAGCAAGCATGTAGCGTAACAGACTAACAGACTACTACAACCCATACTGCGTGGCATGGCATACATTGCATTTTGCATGTACAGCAGAATGGAAAACCCCGAAGGTAAGGGGACAACGGAATCAAATACCAATGAGCCCAAGTGGCATTCCCCTGTGACCTCACACGCCCGTTAAGCGGGGTCGGCGTTAAGCTATCACCGACAGTCACGGATACTGCTGCTCAGCTGGTCTCGCGTTTCTAGATTCAGCCTGGATGGTCAATACATGTACTTTCCCCATGGCCTTGCTCCTGAATGATGCTCAGCACTTGACTATAATATTGACAGTAAGCCTCTGCATACGTGGCCATGCATGACCAAGAGGCTCTCTTAGCATACATGTGACTCTTCTTCAGCGTCACTGACAGCGAGTACCGCTATTGCCAACACACCCAGGCCTAGGGTAAAGAAGGGGCTCTTCGGGGGAGCAGGCACACAGCACACGCTATGACCATCCATGAGCCTGATGAGCGGCAGATATCTGATATTCAGCTTGTAAGCTCACTATACACACGATTGTGTGGTCGTATCGGCGCATTGGCAGATAGATATGCTCTTGCAAAAGCTCAAAAAACTACAGCCCTCGAGATTCCCATCTGGTCCCGCACGATGGTACTAAACGAGCGATGGCGAGGTTTGAAACTGCTCAGATCGAACGGGATGAGGTGCTTTCTCCCTTCTATGGCGGTAGTCGGATGTTACGTTCCCCATGAGCATAAGAACCGCTCTCATACGTTTATGGACGAATGTACAACGTCAGACAGATTACGATATCATCGATGCAAGCCATCAAAAGCGCACTGAGTCGTGCGAGTATGGCTGTTATACCTGTGGAGAATCGAGGGAAACACAACGGGATACATCTAGAATACCTATCAACCGATACAAGAATACAAGAGGGTTGATTCTATTCACTTCAAGCTTATCTGAGCGTATGTAGATTGATCAGGATCTCATCGAGTCTTTATCTACTCCGGCTTCATGGTCAAAAGCGCAAAGATCAACCTATCTGTCGTCTCTTCGACCTTCTTGGCCAAACTTTTAGCTCCAGCTTCGTGGCCTGTATTCTCATATATCCTTCCCAAGAACAGACCCTGCCCGTGCTTCACGTTGGAAACAGGCATCTTATCCTGCAGTTCCGCCAAGAGCTTGAGGCCATGACCAGGGATCACTCGATTATCCTTGTCTGCGGTGGTCATGAATACCGAAGGGTAGGTCTTGTTGGAGGCGATGTTATGTAGTGGCGAGGTCTTGTGGAGGATGGGGAAATCTTTGGGATCGTCAGGGGAACCGAACTCTGCGAGCCACATAGCACCGTGTGACTGCGTATAGCGGGATCGTAAGCTAATCAACAACACGTGGTATATCTGAGAGGGACTCACGAAAAGATGGAACCTCAGCAGATCAGTGACAGCCACGTCCGCGAATACAGTCTTGTACAACTCTGGATGTCGATTCATACAGGCCGATACCAACAAGCCGCCGTTGGAACTACCATAGATAGCAGTCAACGACGGGGTTGTCAAACCTTCCGCTTGGAGGTATTTAGCCGCAAAAGCAAAATCGTCCCATGCGACCCATCGTTTGGTACCGATGGCTGCTTCGTGCCATCTTTTACCGTATTCGCCTCCACCTCGAATACCTGCGATGGCGACACTGCGGTCCGGAGTCTGGTCAGTTCCGACCCTCATCGAGGACAATAGATGAGAAGAGGACTCACACTCCTCTGAGATTTCGCATGAACGTGGCGAAGAATGGATCGAAGCGAGGTAAGATCGGTGAGCAATATCCTCCATAGCCATACAAGAGCGCCGGGTGGGGTCTCGTCAGGTCCAGATCATGCGCATGACAGATGAACATGGGTATCTGCTCGCCATCGTGAGACTCGTAGAACACCTGAGAACAAACCAGCGTCTCTTGAGGTGCGGAGTGGGGTTCGTTGATACTGCTGATCTCCACTTCGAGACCTTCGGAACGATTGACCACTTGACCGCGAAGGACGTAAGGAGGCGCAACAAAAGTGTCCACAGCGAAATAAAAGTCATCCGCATCTGATCTCGCTGAGAGAGTCTTGATTTGACCGTGTTCAGGAATGACCACCGTTCCTTTCCTAGCCAAATGTAGTTCTTCCTCTGGCACAGGGATTTTGATTTCGGGATCCAGCTCGATGTCACCTCGCGTCCCGTACGCATCGGTGGACCCCAGCGGTTTACCATTCCTAGCATCGATGAATACGACGGACGCACAAGCGTGCTTGAGATACACGAGGACGAGGAGTCTGTCGCCTACGAATGTTGCTGAGAGGATATTCAGCTGGTAGCCCGCTTTGTGGACCGGTACGATCTCCTTGAGCGGGAGTGTCCCGTCCGGACGTGTGGCGTCCCAGTCGGAAGTATCAAAGGCAACGATCCGGCCTGTCGAGTGGCCGTCGGCAGTGGAAACAAAGAGATGTCGCTCGGAAGAAAGAGATCCGATATCTGTGGTATATCACCTAAACTTCCCTCTTACCAAGCTCGTCGGTGAGCTTAGCTGATGACTCACAATACGTCTCTCCTGTGAAGCCGCCAGTAACAAATTTGGCATGATGATACACCAAGTTTTCGATTATCCTGCCATCAATCGCTCCAGTCCCACCGGGTAATTCGACAATAAGTAATTCCGTCTCGGGATTCGTATTTCGGTGCAAATCAAAAGTGAGCCAAGCCCTCTTCCCACTGTCTTCCTTCTCATCTACGCCGACAACTTTCGCTTTGTTCACGAAGCGGCCGTCGAATTTATCGGTGAAGCGCAACACGCCGATATCGGATGATTGGGGCTCGCCTATTCGGTGATAGAACATGCCGAATTTCCCGGTTGAGAAGGTGGGAATACCTTTGAGGGGGTCGTAGTCGATGATTCGTTTGTAGATGAACCCCTAAGCGGGACTGTCAGTACGAAAGGGAGCATGACAGAGATTGGTCACAAGGACGGCAGCCGCTCACCGCTTCTCCGACCCATGTCACGCCAAAGGTAAATTTGGATCCACCGAGATCTGTGTCTATGGCCTTTTTGGTCTGCGTATCGTACACTCGGATGGTCTGCCAGTCGCTCCTGCAGTTACAAGCAAGGGTCAGCGAGTATCTACGGTGAACCACGGCGCCTTGATAAGACTGATATACGGGAAGGAGGTCGGTCGTTCACCCAGAGTCTTGAAGAACAGCACACCATAATCTTCCGCTCGGACTAAAGCTGTGCGCATAGAGCGAAATATCCTTCTGATCATTTAGATCAAAGAATACCTCTGGCCCGTCGTCGTCTTCGTCGTCTGATTTTTTTCCGAAGTGCCTATCCAGGTCTTTCGAGCGGACGATAATGTCTCTTGGGGACGTGCCAGCGTTGAAGGACCAATAATACCACCCGTCCGCTTGGAGTTGAGGTACTGACATGTGCTCGTATGTGTATGATTGCGTGACAGCGGTTTCGAGGGGTTTGCGCAAAGGGTGCTCCGTCAGAAGGGGTGTGGAGAGCTGTTAACCAGATATCATTCGAGTCAATCAGCTTTTGTCGGCGCAGTGAGTCATATCATAATACTCGAGAAGGTAGCGCACTTACACCATTCTGTTCTGAGATGAATATTTGGGTCTCATTCTCCTCGAGATTCTCCAGTATCCTCCAGGGGTCCTTCACCTCTTCGCCAAAGATCTCGGTAACGACCCCACCAGTCTGAGGGGGTGAAGAATACCTATCAGGCAGAGTAGAGTTCGATTTCCACTGATCAGGGTGGACAACGAGGGAAGCCGATGACTCTGCAGGCTGATTCGACAGCGTGCCAGCTGGGAGATGCTCCTTCGAATCCCTGATTGCGTTGGGAGCTAGATCGAGCGTCATGGTGAGCGCCGTAAGATAGATGTAGTGGACAGCTGCAATGAGGTGATGAGCTGAAAACCACATCAGCTGAAGAGGCCTCTAAATTTATCAGACGATATACAGGCTTTCTGAAAATCGAAGACCGGTTTTGTCTGTCTCCTCGAAGTCGAAGCAAACCGGGTTCTTGGCGCCGACATACTGTTTTCATGCTTATGACGAGATGTGTGCAGTAAGCTTAATTCTCGTTCATATCAGATTAGGGGTAGATGATCCCTACCCCTACTGCAACGCGCCGTACCGAAATTTCCAAAAGCCCGAATCATATTGAAGTGCTCTAGATCTTTGGGCCCTTCGAAGGTGAGGGAATTCCTAGCACTCGTCGTGATGAAGGAAGCGCGCGTCTATTTTAGCTTCCGAGCTCACACATTGAGCTCAGCTCTTCGAGCGCAATAATGGTCTCTTCCCGCACGCCGCTGATGGAACGGGACTCGAGGTTTGAAGGCGCTTGAGGGATCATCTGATACAGTTTACGATGACTTCGTGACGTCCCGCTCAGCTGGTCCGTCCCGAAGAAGACTGGCGTCGTGTACTGTATACGATACCGAAATGCACAGAATGCACAGATTGAGTGAGTGGTACTGTTGACCCGAAAATCCCCAACTTGCTCGGAGACGAAATCTTAATGCACGGACATCGCCGAGAATTTACACTTCCAGGGTTAATCCGATTGGATCCTGCTCAGGGCAGCGACAAACATGCATGCTTCATTCATCCTTCGCACTTTGCAGATCCCCATTCCTATGACGATTACCCATCGCCATCATCGTGAACGAGATCACGGACCTTTCGTTATATAACAACAGCCAGCAAAGAAGCAAAGATCCGAAGATTGCTGTCCCAGAGATCGCTGCTCCCGGACCAAGACCACCCTCGATATGACTGACAGCTCGAATCACTATTCGCGGAGATGATCATCGAGGTCGATCGATTGTGGTCTAGCGTAAGCTTTTCATTTTCGCCGGATGTCACCTCTGGTGCGATACACCATCGTTCGGACTTTCGAAGGGCCCTCACTGACTATTTGATAGCTGACTAACAAGGTCAAAGGGCTGGCTGGTCCGGGGCACCGAATGAGACCTTCTACCTCAATGCGACAGCCAGAGGAGGAAACGATCCCCCTCCGGCCCGTCAAGGATGACGAGATCACAGATGATTCCGATCTAGATGCTCACCATCCGGGTATCGATATCTGTTCATTCCGAGCGTCCAGGGGAGCGCTGAACGGACCAATGGTGGGCAAGACTCTGCCCGAGGTTCGAGCCGTCGCTATAGAAGTTGACGATCCTTCCGAGCTATGCGAGACGTTTCGGGCGTACGTGCTAGGTACGATCGTCGCCGTTATCGGCACGGGTCTGAACGTATGGTTTGGTGCTCGACAACCTGGGATTTACATCTCACCCTTTCTCGCTCAGCTCTTATCTTATCCGGTCGGAGTGGGCATGTCCAACTGGTTTCCCAGCGCCAGATACCGAATTCTCGGTCAGACACTCTCGCTAAATCCAGGACCGTGGACCATCAAAGAACATGGGATAGTAGTCCTAATGGCTACGGTCTCATTCCCGACCGCCACTGCTTTGGACGCCATCGTAGCGATTCGCCAACCCACATTTTTCAACGATCAATCACTGGGCGATAACAAGGTCTTTCAGCTCCTGGTAGTCCTTTCCACTCAGTTCCTAGGATTCGGGATAGCGGGTCTCGCTAGAGACTTCCTGGTCTACCCTTCGGCGATGACGTGGCCTTCGAATCTCGCAAAGCTATCGCTATTCAACGCCTTACACGGT